ATCATAGAATGCCTTTAGTAGAGAATGAATCTGTTCGATTGTAGTCAGTGTCATGAAAAGTAATTTTCTATTTTATGCAGAGGTGGAAAAAGTACCCAATTGTCATACTTGAGTAAATGTAAAGATACCTTAATAGAAAGTTACTCAAGTAAAAGTGAAAGTCAGACAGTAAAATACTACTTGAGTAAAAGTCTAAAAGTATTTGGTTTTAAATATACTTAAGTATCAAAAGTAAATGTAATTGCTAAAATATACTTAAGTATGAAAAGTAAAAGTAAAAGTAAAAATCATTTAAAATTCCTCATATTAAGGAAAGCAGACGACACCATTTTCTTGTTTTAAAAATGTACGGATAGCCAGGGGCACCCTCCAACACTCAGACATTATTTACAAAAGATGCGTTTGTGTTTAGTAAGTCCGCCAGGCCAGAGGCAGTAGGGATGACCACGTGTTCTCTTGATAAGTGCGTGAGTTGGACCATTTCCCTGTCCTGCTAAGCATTTAAAATGTAACGAGTACTTTTCGTTGTCAGGGAAAATGTATGGAGTACAAAGTACAATATTTTCTTTAGGAATGTAGTGAAGTAAAATTAAAAGATGAAAAAACATAAATAGTAAAGTAAAGTACAGATACCCAAAAATACTACTTAAGTAGTACTTTAAAGTATTTTAACTAAAGTACTTTACACCACTGATTTTATGTACCAGGCTTTCACCTCACCTTCGATATGGAAGCCTATGGAAGTTCATGTCAAAAGAGGCTAAAAGAACTTGGAGTGTATCCAAGCGGTTTGACCCTCCCAACAATTGGAATAGGCACATTCAAACAGAGGCTTAGTTTCGAAACCGAAAGCCAATAATTTTCACTTCTGCTCACTTGGGGGTAGTGTCATTTCAACCAGATTACAGTATGTAAAACATTTAATACATTTCAGAAATATACATTTTCAGAAATATAGTATACTAGCAATGCTTCCACCATAGATTAGTTTACTCTAGATAATTTGCCCTTCTAAAGGCTAGTGGGGAATAAATCAGTTCGATTGTAGTCAGTGCCAGGGCTTGGGCCCAGTCAGAGAGGTGGACATCAGAGAGAGGCTGGCAGATGGCAGGAAACTGTTGTGTCTAATGAAGTCCGGGCCATCTTTGTTGACCATGTGGTAGACAGAGGCCTTACCATGGCAGAGGCTGCCAGATTAGTTCACCCCAATCTGGAAAGATCAACTGTCAATTTGATAATGAGAACATTTCGCCAAGAAAACCGGTAAGTCTGCAGGATATGCGCTATGCTTTACCATTACATTTAGAGTAAATGACATATTGTAATGCATGTAAATGTTACAGTATGATCTATTGACAGTATACTCTGTTCTACCCCCAGAATTGACAGAAGACCCCATGGTGGTTGCCGTGGCTGTGTGGTGACCGACCAGCAGGAGAGGGCAGTGGTGGAAATGGTGAGGGCCAGGAATGACGTACGGCTGTCTGAAATAAAGCAGACCATTGAGGAGAACGATGACACCTTGGCCAATGTGGCATCCATCAGCCTACCAACAATCGCCACGCCTTTTGAAGAGGCACCAGGTATCTATGAAACACATTTACCTGGTGCCTGGGCTGGAGAAATGTATCCATTCTCACATTCATTGACAGAGTTTTGGATGCAAGGACTGACCAGTCATGATATCAACGTTATAGTTTGTAACCATGGTTTGAGGCTTTACAGCGTTCATTTACATTTACTTTGTTTACAAACATTGGAGTAAAACAAGCTTTTTTATTTTAGGTTCTGATGGAGTACGAAAGTTGAACTAAGCTCATGAGGCATTTATAAGTTATATTCTTCAAGAATCAATGGGTACATATCATACATTAAGTCCAGATGTAGCAACCGCAGATTGCCACTTTAAAGAGGAATCGCTATTTTTGTACCACAATTTTAAGAGGCACTGCCTACCCTTTTCCAAAGAAAGTATTGTTCATTGTGAAACTTGCCTGGTTGTCGTCACTTCCTTCCTGAATTGTACTGGAGCACAAAATAACATTAGTTTTTCCATATCTGACACACACACAGGCACACAGTCACACACACAAGCAGGGACGGACTGACTGATAGCATATGATAGCAAAAAAATTGCAAATAGTCCGGGTAGCCATTTGATTAACTGTTCAGCAGTCTTATATCTTGGGGGTAGAAGTTGTTAAGGAGCCTTTTGGAACTAGACTTGGCGCTCCAGTACCGCCTGCCGTGTAGTAGCAGAGATAACGGTCTATGACTAGGGTGGCTGGAGTCTGACCATTTTTAGGGTCTTCCTCTGACTCCGCCTGGTATAGAGGTCCTGGATGGCAGGAAGCTTGGCCTCAGTGATGTACTGGGCCATACGCATTACCCTCTGTAGAGACTTGCGGTCGGATGCCGAGCACTTGCCATACCTGGCGGTGATGCAACCAGTCAGGATACTCTCGATGGTGCAGCTGTATAACTTTTTGATGATCTGAGGACCCATGCCAAATCTTTTCAGTCTCCTGAAGGGGAACAGGCATTGTCATGCCCTCTTCACGACTGTCTTGGTGTGTTTGGACCAGGATAGTTTGTTGGTGATGTGGACACCAAGGAACTTAAAGCTCTCGACCTGCTCCACTACAGCCCTGTTGATGTGAATGGGGGAGTGCTCGGCCCTCCTTTTCCTGTAGTCCATGATCAATCTCTGGTTCTATCACACTTAGAGTACTGTCCTGTCGTGGTCATCTGCAGCAACAAAAATACCTAAACAAGCTCCAACTCGCTCAAACAGCATGCAGTATTCT